ATTCAACTGGTGTATTTAGAATTGCTGATGATTATAGCATTCAAGAAAGTTAGTGAAACACATAAATTGCAATTCAACTGTTCTTGAAAATCTGCAAAGTCAGTTTTCATTTGTCTAGTGTAACAGTGGGTAAGACTTACTTATTTTTTACAAACAGGCGCCTTAGAGGGAAGCATTGTGTAAGGTGAATGTGGTAGAGATAAAAGGTGGTAATATTCAGAGAGTATACTAAACCCACTTAGGTTCCAACTTAGCCTACAAAAATCATGCATTTCATTTGCATGACACTTTATTATTTTCACGAAACCATTACTGCATCACCATTTTATTTACACACACACACACACACACACACACACACACACACTCCACATGAGCCCATCTGCATATGTTCAGCTTCTTTGTTTTCAGCACAATTTCTCATCTAAGCCTACGCTTAGAGCCCTGTCTGGTTGGAAGGAAGGTATGGTATTAGCAAGGAGGTTACAGGACCAACCCAGAACACTCACTCAAAGGATAATCTGATTAGCAAATTTTGAAAAGGTCTGGTATACACATTTCATTTATCAACTAATTAGAAAAACTCCACAATGCAGCATGAACAAATTCACTAGTATCAAAGTCCAGAATGTAGTATAATTTGAGTTGAATATGTTGCATTTTGACAGTGTTATAAACCAGGGAGACAGCTTCCTGACATTTCTGTGCTACCCAACACCAACTCAGGCCTCTGTTGGGTTTACTTGTCAATTTTAGGGGAAACATGAATAGTTACAAAGCCTCATAGGATGCTGAACTTTGGATTGCAAAAGATGAGATGGACAGATTTATATTTTCATTACAGATTTTTTTTGTCTTTCCAAACTGCTGAGAATAATTTTTAAGCCAGGAAATGCAACTAATGTTTGTTTCTAGAATGGCTTCTGTTTTGAGATTTTGTCTTTGTAGAAAAAATGTGTTGCCCAGCTGTCTAGAATCCCAATCAGGATATGGTTTCAGCGTGAAATATATTGCAGGAATGATTCTAGCTGGTTTTAAACAGGAATGACACAGGGTTGGACTATTTTACCCATCTTTTACCTACAGAAAGAGTATTCTGGATTCATGCAAATGGATCAGCATAAATAAACAAGGTGAAGTTTAATTCTACCTTTGCCCAAGAAAAGAGAGAAATTCTCAAAAAATAAAGGGTTACATTAATCAAGAAACTACCATTGAGATTCTCAGAAACAGCAGTAGGCAGAAAATGTCCAAAACTACTGAGGTAAAACTTAAAAGAGAAGTTTGATCTGAGTAGAATTGATTGAAAAATATATTGGTTGGCTTTCCCATTGTTGGGACCATATCCTCGACAGTAACAACTTCAAGGAGAAGAGATTTAATTCTGCTATGGTTCTAGAGGTATCAGTGTATGCACAACTGATGTGAAGCAGGAACGTGACTGTAGATGGGCATAATACATTTCATGGTTATCTGGAAATATAGCACATGTGAAGAGTGCAAACAAGATATGCACTTTCTAAAGTGTGACACCCCTAGTGACTGGACACCAACTGTGCCACCTCTTATGCTCACATTCAGCTATGAGTATTGTGGATTTACCTACAGTGAGTAAAGATTCCCATGATTCCATCACCTCTCCAGGAGTTCGTTAATCCAGGCAAATTGGAAATTCAGGTTAACTGGCACAGACAGCTTAATGCTGGCCAGCTTTAATACTTCTCTACATACATATCACTCACACACAGAGGGTTAAACAAATATGGACTTCAAACTTTCTGTATGCTCCCAGGAGTAGTACTATTTAATGGGGAAAAATGTGAAGATGACTCAAGTTTTATCTTTTCTGGTTTGTGGAAGAGAAATATTTCAACCATTATCCAATTGTTTGATACCAAGACTTTCAAGTTTTGATGTTTCTGAAGTACTCACACTGAGCATATTTGATTATGTTCTTTCTAAAAGATAGCATAAAGTCTTTGGGTCTTATGCTAGACAGAAATTCAAATGTGAGATATGGATAGTAGACCATTGTAAATTTCATTGTGTAGCATAATGAGAACAGAGAAGAAAGCCAGACTTCTGGCTTCCTGAAGGAAAATACTAATGGAATGAGCACTAAGAGAATGAGAACTGTACCAGGCAGGAAGGAAGCTTTTGTGAGGGTGATGAGAAGGGAAAGTTAGAAGGATATGGAAAGTACAGGAAAGACAGTATCAGATGGTATTATGAAATACAGCATGCAAATATGGAAGGATGTTTAAGATGCCATTAGAAAAGGGAGGGGGCATAGCTCAATGGAGCACTTGTTTAGCATGCAGACGGTACTGGTCATAACCACCATCACCCCTAACCCAAGTCATATTCAAATGTATCACAAAGGAAGTTCAGAAGATCCAGCGGTGAAGAGGGAATCCAGAGGATTGAGGATTTTTGAAAGAGATTTGGAGGCACCTTTGAGTATTTTTAAGTGCAAGGAAAGCTAATAGGTCACATTAACAAAGGAATACATGCACGTTATCTAACTTAATTCTCAAAAATGTGCCCAAAGCATTGTCTTATCCCTAACTCTTTTTGCTGATAAGGAACAAAATCACAAAGAGATTTAATAGAAAATCAACAACACAATAAAAGTCAGGTCCTACACCATTTGGCTGATTATGCAATCATAAACTATCTGTTATACTACCTAATAATGTTTTGGGCATTTTGATTTTGATTTCTTTTCTTTAAATTTTTAATTAATATATAATTGAAGGTAGTTTTAAATTTACAGAAAAATTGGGTTAAAAGCACATAAAGTTAGTATGCACCCCATCTCATTTCCAAATTGTTCTCTTGGTGTGAACATCTTATAGCAGTAGGGTAACTTTGTTCCATACAATGAGTCAGTACTGATACATTGTTTTTCTTTCTCTTTCTTTCTTTCTTTCTTTCTTTCTTTCTTTCTTTCTTTCTTTCTTTCTTT